AAGGGGATTTATGGACAAATCTGTCTAACTTAAAGATTAGATAGTTAGGAAACACAAGACACAAGAGATTTAAAATGATTCAGCACTTTTAATGAACAAAACTTTACAAAAAAAAAAACAAAAAGCAATGCTTTTTGGTCGCTTCTCTTCCACTGTTGTACTTCCTACTTCTTTCCAGCCTTTTTCATTTGCAGCTGATAGCACTGCTCACATGCAACAGACAGTCCAACAACCAGAGAAACAAACTCCTCAAAGTTCACAAGACCATCACCGTTGGCGTCCAAGTCTTTCATGATCTTGTCTACAGCAGCAGGATCTTTTTGACACTGTGTTTAAAAAAAGGGTGTGTGAGGATACATCAGCAACAGTGAGACTGCACAAGAAGTGGCATAGTATTGGATTACAGTGTGCAAATGATGCGCAGTGTGATTGCACAATTTACGTTTTGGTCTCATCTCACCTTAAGGAAGCTGGAAAGCTCAGCCTCCATTAGCTGTCTGAGGTTTTGCCGGGTGAGCGAACCGTCCTTGGCGTAACGGTGGAACACCTTGATGAGTCCTTCCATGCAGTTTTCCAGTTCTGAAGGCATGGTTGCTGGAATGTGTTTAGACTGAAAAACAATGTTCAGAAAATGTTGACTATGACAACTGATAGCAAGTCAGTTTAACTTCAGCTGACATTTTCCAAACAAGTCCATAGAAAGCATTTATGAAAGCTGCTTTGGTTGAGATGCTGTTAAACTCATCCATTATTGATGGAACTGACACATTTGGGTCTTTGTTTTACTTCTCACTGATGAGTGATGCTCGTGGGAAGACAGTAAAGGTATGTCATTGAAATTTTAGTAAACCACTGTGCAAAATACAGAAAATCTCAACATTTGAGTTACTGTCTTTGTAGCTGTAAGAGTTAAAAGAAAGGAGAAGTAGGAGGGAGGGTGTGTTATTTGTGCGCAAGAGAATGGAAAATGTGAACAACTTGAACTGAAAAAAGTTAGACCCAAAATGGTGGGATTCAATGTGAGTAATGAGATAGGACACTGCAGGAACAAGCACATGTGTGTACGTGCCCACAGTCCAACCACACCCTTACAAAGGCTTATATTGAGTATACGGAGACCTAGTTAACTGTCTTAAATGTGAATCAGAGCTTAATGTAAAAATGTTAATTATATATTTTATTAATAAAAATAATGATAACACTGGAAAAACAATTAAAGTGTAATTATAGTGAAAGATTGAAAACAAGAGAAAGAAACAAGATAAACTAACTAAAAGTTGGAGCCTAACTTAGTTAACAGCAGAGGAAATACACGGATCCGTTAGATACCGTTAGAAATTCACAGAGGGAGCTTCAGTAAATACAAAGCAGTGACTGGGAGCGGATTAAAGTAGGTTAAACAGTATGAAACACTATTCTCACACCTCCTAGCTGTATGTCTGTATGTTTTAGCAACTAAAGTTTATATTTAAAAAAAAAACATCGTGGCAAAGCCACACCTGTAGGACAAGAGCAGAAAGTTTCTTACCGTACAGTTGCTGGGACGTGGCAACAGAAGAGGTGCAAATGTTCAGACGTCTGCAACAAGCAACAGAGATTTTATAGTCAGGCGCCGCCCTGGCTGTGCGCACTGACTCACACTGTGGCTCTGCAGACGCTGGACTCTCTGAACAGTTAATACACTGGAAAGGTTTGTAATGGGAGAGTAAATATATTAGTACGACTTTAACTTAAGTTCAGACATCTGATTTAAAAACAAGCAAAAGGTTACTATTGCTGCTGATAGAAGAGCTAAAAGCCGTTTTTGTGGAATTTAAGATAAAGTTTCATTAAAGTTTAGGCTACCGGTTTAACTGACCCTCCGCCCCTCTCCACCGCCCACCTCCCACACACACGCTCTACTTTTCTGTGTTAATCTCTCATAATAAACACACCTTAGGTTTAAGGGATTTTAAAAAGTATTTACTGTAATTTCGAAAATCTGTAATTTACCTGTAAGACTAACTGATACCTAAAGAAGAGCCAATCAGCAGCATTCTGCTGAGTACAAGATCAATTCTGCAAACTAGAGCTATCATCCACAACAGAGGCAATCCAGCCAGTGTGGCTTCAAGGACTGTTTTGTCTCATATTATCTGCATTTATATTCCTATCATAACCTGAACCTTTACTCCTATTATCCTGAAAAGCGTTTTATATCAAAGATGGACGACAGATAGCTAGGTGGATACAGTGTGCCACATTGTGGTGAAAACAGGGTATTACAAATGGCACGCTTTGCAGCCCAGTGTTAAAGCTGTATTTGAATAACAACTCGATCCGTTCTGTCTTTTTTCTTTTTTTAGAGGTTTGTGTCTCATTTTACTAACAAAGGAGAAAAAGGACATAATTGAACATAAAAATCACCAAAATACCTCATTGCAATTTTTCCTGCACTCAACTTTTGTTATTTTAACCTATTTGATCACGCTATGTATCAATGCTCGGTATTTTTCTTGCTGTTATCCATAAATACATAATTTTAACTGAAAGAGCTACAAGTACAGTACTCGTCAGTCCAGATTTCCAGAGTTTTGTTTCTTGGTTAAAGCAGTTCTCTTCTTATTATCAGACTCCCTTAGTAGTGATTTCTTGTATCAGTTTTACCAATGTAGTCATATGTCTGGTCTGCTACTCAGGGAAGCATTGATGTGGGCTGTAAACTGAGTTTCCATCAAACTGAAAACATGTCAGACCACAATGAAATATTCCTCACCAGCAGAGGGAACTCTTGAGCATCTATTCCCATGTCTGTCATTATTATCAAAGTTTCCTCATTCTACTACTGTAACTTTCAATGTTGTATAAGCTTTTCCAAATAAAGAAAGCTTTGTGTTTTGAAGACTTATCCTTGTTCATTTATTGATTTATTTTCTTAAAGATAATAGCACCTCAAGGCCATTTGCTGCACACTGAGACTACCTGGTTACTGTGCAACTAATGGTAATAAACAATTTAGAAGGCAACTAATTTATTGCCTTCTAGTGTCTGATGAAGCGTACCTATTAACTGAAGACCATTTAAAATGTTTGTTCAGATAAAGAGACAGTAAATTTCTTTTAATCTCCAATTTTTCTGAAAACGTGAACATTTGCTGGCAGGGTTTGTAAACATATTATGGCAGAAGCATATCTATATCAGTTATTGCTGTATAGACTGGAAGAGAACAGGGAAGTAACCGTAATTTAATTACCTTTTTGCAAAGTAATCCTTTACATTAACCTTATAATAGGGTTTATTTCAAACCCTATGATAAAGGTAAAGTGAGAAAAGCAGACAATAAGGGTATATCCTAACATGAAACAACTAGTTCAGAGGTGTGAATAGACAACTAGCAAACATTTCTATGCATCTCTAAGTTAACCCTTGTATGGTGTTCGGGTCTGTGAGACCCGTTTTCAGTTTTTCTCAAAAGAAAAATCAAACAATTAATTATTTTTTCAACCTGAAATTCATTGGCTTTGGCTTATTTTCTGTGAAGAACATAAATCCGAACTAATTTTCAATGACCTCATACTGTACCTCCCCCCACCAAGGTGTTCGGGTCCACTGGACCCAGGTCTAATAAAAGTGTTGAAAGTGTAGGTCCTGTGTTCCCACACTCTGTCTTCCTCCTTTCTGGTGCTGCTGATAGTGTTTTCTTCCCCTCCTGCTCTGCACAAAGTTGCAACATTGTTGAAAATTCAACTATCAACACCGTCTGCTCTGACATTCCCACACATTTTACCCTCTTTCTTGAGGGATCCAAATTTTATTTTCTCATACCCTGTCCCACCTGCAAATTAGGGGCATAATACTATAAATAAGACTTTGCCAGTGTGGTTCTTTATCACAACTGATCAAGATGGCAAAAGATTATCTGCTGCGAGGGCCATCCAATTGATTTTGGAAGAGAGAGGGGCTTCGGATGATGATGTTGACAAAGAGGTTTCAGAATATTTCACATTTCTGAAAATTCAGAGTCTGACAGTGACTTTGAAGAAGAGGATGAGGTTGAGCACCATTTAGTAACAAAAAAAAAGACGAGTACCCCATCAGCAGCCAGCTCCAGGACCAGAACAAGCCCACCAGACAGCAAGTGAAGAAATATGGATGTCAATAACTGGTGACATTGAATGGTCTTCTTGCCCAAGAAATGAGCCACCCTGCAGAGCTGCTACTGTGATAAGCCAGGGCCAACACGGTTGGCAGTTACTCATGTGCAGGACATGAAGTCTTCATTTGAGCTTTTCATCCCAGATTCCATCCAGAAAATTATTCTGGATTGCAGTAATCTAGAAGGACGGTGTGTTTTTGGAGAGAGGTGGAAGGGGATGGACCAAATTGATCTACAGGCCTACTTTGGGGTTCTTATCCTTGCAGGAGTTTTGAGGTCCAAAGGGGAATCCACAGAATCCCTGTGGGATGCAGAAACCGGCACGAACCTTTCCATGCATCAATGTCTCTGGAAAACTTCCACTAAATTTCCAGGATTATCCGTTTTGATAACCGAGATGACAGACCAGCTCGACGGCAGAGAGACAAGCTAGCTGCCATCAGGACAGTGTGGGATAATCGGTGCACCACCTCCCCCTGTTTTACAACCCTGGGCCTAATGTCACCATTGATGAGCAGCTGATCCCATTTAGTTGTGAAACATATTGCTTCACGTGTAAATGTGTTGTCTTTCCACTCACTCCACTTGATTATAACTGATTTATTTTTTTATAACATTTTATAAAAAGAACAAAAAAAACTGAGAAGCACATTAATTCATAAATGTGATCTAACAAAGGTAAAGGGAAAAAATTAACCATGTTTGCTGTTCATATGGCTTGTAATTGGGATGAAGTAAACATCTGTTGAGTAATTTAACATAAAATTGTTTGATAGTGTTAATTTGGAAAGCCAAAACTCTAACACTGGCTGAGTAACAAAAATATGAACACCACACAAGGGTTAAAGAAAAAACAAGCACAATCTTTGACTTTGACTAACTTTATTGTTTTAATGTGAATCCAGGGAAGGCCTATATTGGGTTTCTTTCCACATCAGCAGTGCTTTACTTTGGGCAGCCTTTTGTGTCCAGTTCTTTCATGACCTCTTGGAGGGCATCATGGCTTGCACAGGCGCAACCAGCAACCAGTGAGGCGAACTCTTCAAAGTCCACACGTTTATCATCATTGTGGTCGACACACTGGAAGAGCTCATCTTCACTTTTTCCCTGCAAAGGTGAAACAAACATTTAATAACTTGGAAAGTGAAACAAGTGCAAAGTTTTTTTGTTGTGCAAAAATAACTTTGCACTTTTTTTTCACAACAAAAAAAGTGCAAAGTTTAATAATAATTTTGTTTTTTAATTAGTTATTTTAAAAAAATTATCTCTTGGTTCATGCTTTTAGTCAGGCTGTTATGATACATTTGCAAACTCAATAGATTTGTAGGGCTAGATTTTAATGCTAAACTATGCCTTAAACATTTACATTGCACTTTAAAAGTGTCTGGATGTCACCAAAGTTATTGTGATCATTTGCAGTTATTTAGTACAATGTTTTCCCTTACCTGAGAAAGTAAGGGTAGTTCATTCTTCACTAATTTTAGAAATTGTTCTTTGGTCAGTTTATTGTCATCTCCTTGGTAGGACATGTAGGCACTGAACATTGCAGCCAATGCCATTTCCAGTCTTGTTGGGTCTGACATGTTTGCAGTGCTGTACAAGAATCTGGACAAGAAATAAAATGGATCATGAAATATTATTTGGCATGCTTCGGCAGAGGGACAGAAATGTAGATGGACTGTACTTACAATAATTCTTTACTTTTTAATAATGTGATTCTTAACTAAAGTTTTACATACATGTCAAACGGAAGAGCAGCTTCACTGAAGCAAATACCTTAAAACAAAATACATGCAGTCAGAGTAGAACCAAAAACCAGCCAGTTTAACATAATTACAGATCAATCTTCAACCACAAGAAACAAAATTTGTCTAGTTTCTATCTAAACAATAAAAAAGTCACAGAAGAATCTGCTCCTACCTGGATTCAGCAGAGTCAATAGAGCGAAGAGAAAACCACCTCCACGAGGTTCAAAAGGGTGTTCGTGACACTCCCATTGTCTGTTTCCTGATTAGCAACTTTGTTTGCATTTTTAAAAAAATAAGTAACTGCTTCCGTCCTGGAGGCCCTCACATACAGGCAAATTCAAGAGGCCACCTTATACTGCAATCACTAAAATAGGTATAGCTTTCTTATACTTGATTTCTGTTGCAGGACTGGTAGCTTCAGTTTCAGAACTGGTTTACTTATAGTGTGCCTACTTATTTTAGTATGGTTGATTTTCCTTTTTGCCATTTTGACCAGGTGTGGGTAATAATGGTCTTTCTTTGTTGCAGTTATAATTCTTCCCCTGGCCTAGTGTTATTGAGCATACTTGCACAGTTCAATAAAAGATCTGACGAAAGACAAAAAGAAACACTTTCTGATTGCTAGCGACAGCTTGAAGTAAAGCGGCACTTTTGTAATGAAACACATTGACCGAGTCAAACACAGCTGAGGCATGCATATCTCATGTTCATTGTTCAAACAGGAATTTTAATATAAGGAAGTAGTCTACACACCCAACAGAGAGCTGGTTAGGTCATTATTGAACACACCTGTCAGGAAACTTTCCACCTGTGGAAGAAACACTGAGACATGTGAATAGCTATGGCAGTCTTTTTGAAGAACAATCCAGTTTTTGCTTATTGCATTTGTTAGATTTGTATTGTTGGATTGTCATTTATTCCACAATAGTTATTAGAACTGTATAGACAAGCAGGGGCCACAGGATTCGGGGCAGGATGGGATGCTGGTAGATCCAGGCTTTAAATCTTCCAGGCAGGCCGGACTTATCCACCTTAATGAGCCACACTCCCAGCTCCTCATTTGCCTTCTGAATGGCATTAGAGTCTTTCAGGCTGGAGTCGAAGAGTTTCCCCAAGCTCTTGACTGGTTGTTCCATTATGGATGGAATAATGGTTCCTGAGAGCTTGCCCTTCTTCAGTACCATAGATCTTGACTTGGAAGGTTTAAAACTCATCCTTGCCCATGAGATGAGTTTCTCAAGTCCTTGCAAGATCCGCCTACACCCTGGGACTGATGATGTTGTAATGGTGAGGTCATCCATATAGGCTCTGATAGGGGGCAGACAAACACCTGACCTTGTTAGCGGCCCTCTGCACTCCACCTCAGCAGCCTTTACCACCATGTTCATTGCTAGGGCAAAGAGCGTAACTGAGATGGTACAGCCTGTTATTATACCTTTCCCGAGGCGGTGCCAGCATGAAGTAACTGCCCCAGAAGTGACCCTAAGCCTGAAATTGGCGTAATAGTCCAGAATCAGGTCCTTGATCTTATTGTTTCATGGTTGGATAAACATATCTATATCTGTTTTAGTCTAAGTGCCTTTTGTTTAGATGAACTGCTGGACTTCCAGACCAGCAGGTTTAGGGAGGTCACACACACACACACACACCCACACACACCCACACACACACCCACACATTTACACAACGCACAGGCAAGGTACTCTTTGTTTGTATGTATACGTCATATGTTAATGAACCTATGTATCTTCATGTAACCTCAATAAAAGAACATTGTTGCAAGGGAGCAGACGAGGGCAACTGGGGTCAAGCGAAGGAACGGCGTTTGTAACATAGCTGTAGGAGGATTAATTCTGGCTACTATCTGAAGTAGCGTATTTTAGCCTACAGATTCCAGACTTTGGTCATTATATACTGTATTTTGCAGACAGAGTAGGTAAAACAACACAAAGTCATAAATATACTTGGGAAAGCAGCTACTTTTTGTGTTTTATATACAAACTCTTTCATAACTCCTGTTGACCAGAGGCTATTTACTAACGTAAGCAAAGATATAGTACATAAAAATAAATTTATGTATCCTCAGAAAATTCAACAACTAAACTTGATCTGAGGATCCTAAAACTTGAAAAAAAAAAGTGATTTCTGATGTTTGTTCTTTTTAATTTATTTTTATGTACTATATCTTTGCTTACGTTAGTAAATAGCCTCTGGTCAACAGGAGTTATGAAAAAGTTTGTATATAAAACACAAAAAGTAGCTGCTTTCCCAAGTATATTTATGACTTTGTGTTGTTTTACCTACTCTATGTCTGCATTGCCGTCAGCACATATCTTTATTTATATTATCATTGTAGAACTGTTAAATTTGTTGCAATTTCTGCTATCCTCTTGGCGTGATCGCTCCCGAAAAATACATTTTTATAAGTCAGTGAGAGTTTTTGCCCTGATCAATAAAAGATATATAAAACTCCCTTTGCCAAAAGCTGCTTGCAGCTTCTATCTTATGACATGATTGTTTTTTTCTGGCTCAAACTGACATCATCCACGAGAGATGTGTTCGACAGAGTCTAGGCCAACGACTCCTTTACAACATTTTAAATCCCGGAAATCAGTTTTAAACCGACAAATACTGTTTTTTTCCCCCCACACTACGTTCTTGAGTTATTAAGGAATGGGTTCCTGGATTTACAGCGATTTTCCCTGTGTTCCGCATCAGCTGAGGGCATCCGGTGCAGGATGGGAAACGTAGGGGGAGGGATGCCTGCGTGAGGAATAAAGCCACAGGCATCTTTTAGTAGTAGCTATTCGGCGTGGATGTACTCGTAAATTAAGAACAAATTCAGATTTTTTTTTTCCAGAAAGCGTTTTGTTTTTATGCCTAAAATCAGCACACGGTGCTTCTTATCAGTCGGTAATTAACGCGCGTAAAAATGTCCAAATTAAACATCTAATAGAAAAAAATAATATTAATATCAAAAACGCTTCTATATTCGAGACCTATTTTCGGCATATTTCGCGTTCTTAATATGTGTTACATGGCCATCGGCCTGGACACACCACAATCTATTTCCAGATGATGAAAACAGGGGGAAGCTATGCTCTTAAAATGGCAGAGATGGATTTAAAAACAGCCACATCAGCGATGGAAGCCTTGGTTCGCGCCACCGTAAGTGTATATCTGTGACATTGTGCTGTTAGTTGATATACGCTGAATATAACGTGGAGTATGAATTTGTATTTATTTATTTATTTTAAATAAAGAGTAGCTATCATGCTTTATCATGTTTTAAAGGGAAAAAGCAAATTATCGGTGTGGATGGCACCTGCCGGAGTGTCTCTATCACATGGGCCCAATCCGTGTGCTATCTGTTTCTGAACCTCAATTAAAGTCCACTGAAATAAAATAAAACTAAAACATATTTTTCTTATCATCTTTAGCCAATTAAATATTGATCTTCTTCGATTTTTGCTTTACCGACATTAATGAGCTATAGTCGGTAGCCTACATATCGGACTTGAGCTTAACCTCCATTCAAATGTGGCAATTATAATGTCATTAAAAAATAATAGCATGGGTGCAGACCCAAATGACACGTTTCTTTTTTCGGCACTCTGGATGCTCGTTTCCATGGAGACGAGATGCAGGACTCGGGGCTGCTGCTGAGACAAATAAGAAAAAATGTGTATCGATGCATCTGGGAGCATCAAGCATTGCAGGGTTAAAACCTAGAGGTAATTTTTAGACACGGCTCCAACAGAGCGTGGTGGAGTGGTCTTAGAGGTGCACACAGAGCACGTTCAGCAGTCAAAGGCAGTCACGTGCGTTATCTTTTCCGTCGCCATAGCCCGTTTCCTCCAGAGCCCATCGTACCTGCGCTAGGAGGTCGTTGTAATCGCTCAAACCCCTCCCCTCTTTGCACTACACAGACACTGCTCTGATCCTGGAAATGCTGTCATGGCGCCTAGATTCCAGGTGAAGGTAAGGATGCGCTGCTTGTTTTTCCCCGCCGGCCTCAGCAGCAGCAGCAGTGCGGACTGTGCATGTGAGATGGAGGTAGAGAGCCACAGTTTGTAGCTGTGCGCTCAGCCTGCAGGAATCGGAGGTGCTTGAAAATGAAATGCGATAGGCTAAGCTGCTAGAGGATGAGAAAAAGACAGGCCAGAGTTGACATTGGAGAAAATGACTGAGGTGGACTGAGGGAGGAAGGAGGTTATTAGCATTAATCCAGTTTCATACTTCAGTGCAGGTCGTCGCTATCCGCCAGTTCTCTCCGTGTAATTCTAATTTGACTAAGGTGGTGCTATCTGCAAATTGGGTAGATGGTGCGCTATCAGCCAGTATCTGCACAGATTTTCTCATCCGGCTTTATTGTGTGAATGTAGACCTTTCCTTTTTATATTCCCTTCATAATATTCCAATTGTTCTGCATCCCTATGCATGATCTTTGTGTTTTAAGTAGCCCTGATGGTGGCATCATATCACATCACAGTGACACAATCCCCAAATCCCCTATGCAGCACTGTCAGTCTGTTTGCCTTGTCCTGGTTTTGAAGTTAAATCATAATGTCTGCAACCAGTTTGGTAGTAGGTTCTGTGTCAAGGGCATCCACAAAGCAAAGGGGGGGAAAAGGAGGTCCTCATGACTGGGAAAAGGACAACAAATAAAATGTATTATTATTCTTAACATCACTGGACATAAAATCTGTGTATTTTTCACACAGACCAGGATGTAATGAAAGTGGAATTAATCTTTTATCAGATCAGAGTGACTGCAGTGGTAAAGTCACAGGTTTATGCAATAGTCAGTGTCCTTTTCTGTCAGATCCATGTCCTTGAGCAGAGCACGCGTTAAGTGCTCCAGAGGTGCGAGTTTGGATTCGCCATCCAGGTCTGTTTGCTGTAGTTTCACAAAGCGAAGGTGCTGCATTGGCAGTAATGTATAGAAAAAGACAAATGCATTATCAAACCTGATTTTGCGTGCTAATATATTACACATTACTACACATTTTTACGAAATTTCTTAGAAACAAGTGTGTTATAGAATTTCTGAGTCATAAAGAAATGTGGCTACTGGCTCATGGTCACATGCATGGCTGTGATTTAAGAGATGGGTGGTTGAATAATTAATGCCTCATCTTAATCCATATTTAACAAGATTGGCACCCTGTGTCGGCTGTGTGGCACATCTTTTTCACATTGCCAAGTATTTCTCAGGGTATCTGCTGTGAAGCTGTTTCCCCTCAGTTGTACATCTGCAAGTCGGACTGGTCTAAAACTTGAATGCTGTTCTGGTACTGAGTAAAAATGTATCTATAGAAGTAAGAATCAAAACTCTTAAGTATAAAACGACATTTGGCTGAGTTTTGCATCTTTATGCTATAATTGGATAGTTTTAGATTTTAATCAATTCCATTGGCATTCACGTTTGAGAGCTTTTTATGCTGCCGGCAAATTTTAGTTCCATTTATTCAAGTTAAAGTTTTTTTGTGCAGTCAGGCGTCTGTGTGCTGCGTTCCTAAACACAATCATCTTCAGGATGTCTGGATACTCAGCCTGTTTTTCTCTACAGCACCATGTGCAGATAGTCATCCTTTGCTTGTTTGCTTCCAACAGTCTAACATGAAGAGCCTGGAGCATGAGTTGCATTGCCCCGTGTGTAAGGAAATAGTTAAACAGCCTGTGGTCCTGCCATGCCTGCACAGCGTCTGTCTCTTGTGTGCCTCCGAGGTCTTGGTAGCAAATGGATACCCGCCTCCAGAGCTTCCACCAGAACCCAACTCACCAGCCTCCACACCCAACACCCGTTCACCTCGTCAGGCACGCAGGCCCACACCTAAAAATGAACAACGGCCCATCGACCGCGTGCTGCGTTCAGGTTTGTAGTACCTCTCTCCATTTATAACCTAAACTAAAAGAAATGGCAACCATGATTTTCCTTAATTTTCTTTGTTTATAACTGGTTTTACTTTTTTGTTTAAGGTCCACACCCCCCTTCACCATCCATGCCACGGTCTCCCGGTTATGGGACGTACCCAGGTAGACGCCGTAAGGAAGGTCCACCCTTGGTGATGATGTTCCCCTGTATCCCCTGCGGCAGAGATGTTGAGCTGGGAGAGAAAGGCCTTACTGACTGTCTGCGCAACCTCACCTTGGAGCGTATAGTGGAGAGGTAAGTATAGACTCAATCTGCAAACAGAAGATTGGGAGCTGTGGCTCAGGTGGTCGAGCAGGCCATCTCAAGGTCAATGGATCGATCCCCAGCAGATGAATGAATATTAGAAAAATGATCGTGTATGTGACTGAGCGAATGAGACTTGTAGTAAAAAGTGCTTTCTGTGTTTAACTTGAGCAGAAAGATGCTATTTGAGTACAGATTCATGACAAAAACTGTTAGATAACCCTACAGATTGATGATGTCCTTCAGTGCTCATGATGTTTATGGACAAATGTAAATAAGGAGAGGACTTAGACCTGAAAAGCAGAAGGTATGGGAACAGGTCCAAAACTTATTGTCAGTATTCAGCAGCTGAACCAGCACTGAGCGTGCACTGCAACATGCTGTAGCTACCCTGGCTGACCGCATGTTTCCACAGCTTTCCATTCATCACCTGCTCATTACCATTTGTCTCAAGCACACCCATGGGCTCGAATCACTCTTTGTTATAAACATTTGTGTTCCTTTAATGAGAATTTATTTCATGTCCAAATATTCAACTCATTAATCCTTTATTTGCTTGGTTGCCAGGTCCCACTTCATTAAAAAAAAAAAAAAAAAAAGGTGGAACAAGCTCAATAACGTGAGGCTAAATCAGTCTGTCTTCTCTTTCTCGCTTACCTTTCTCAGGTACAGACACACGGTGAGTCTGGGCAGTGTGGCTGTGATGTGCCAATTCTGTAAGCCGCCTCAAACTCTGGAAGCCACCAAGGGCTGTGCTGACTGCAGGTCTAATTTCTGCAATGAGTGTTTCAAACTCTATCACCCATGGGGAACGCCACGGGCGCAGCATGAGCACATCCAGCCTACACTCAACTTCAGACCAAAGGTACTGAAACACTGACACACGCATACTGTTCATCCACATCTGCTTGTGCTAAAATAAAGCATAAGTGACAGCAGACATGAAGTCTTTTGTTACACTTTTCAACAAGACATGCTTTGCTGAGGGTTTCTAAGTATTAATTGTATATGTTGTTAAATAAGTGGTAAACTGGGTGTGGTTATATTGCACTGCATTATATAGAAAGTGTGATTGCCATGCGAGGCACAGTTCAAGTTGCATAAAGGACAGTAATTGCGCATTACTGTAAGACTGCATGGATGGAACAGTTATGGTTTCTTTCCATGTGCAAAATATGGATTTCTGACCCACTTAGATTGTAACAACACAAGAAGAAAATACAGAGACCCCTTTACATTTACTTTACTTTTGTTTTTCAGAGCCCTCCACTGGCTCTTGGCTGCTTAGCAAAAGGCAAAGCAATAAATTACCCAGGCATACTCACACTTGTGTGCTACATTCCTGTTTTCTTCTACTCAGTAAAATGTGCCTCAGATTAAATTGTTCTCATCTGTTTTGCCTGTCTCGCTCAGGTGCTGACTTGTCCAGAACACGACCAGGAGAAGCTGCAGTTCTATTGTCGGTCATGTCAGCGGCTGCTCTGCCCCCTCTGCAAACTGCGCCGCATTCACACCGGACATAAAATCCTTCCAGTGGCCCAGGCGTACCAAGCGCTGAAGGTTTGACTCACAATCTGACATCTATCTCTGTCCCGCACAGTGAAAGGTTTACTAGAGGCAGGAATACACACAAAGCAAACATGTAGTAGTGAAGCCAGCGTATATGTGAATAGTGTGAAACCCTCCATTTCACACATTTCACAGTTTAAAATAATATATTATAGCAGTCAAAGACTGCTTCTCTGCTTCCTCTGACAAACAAGCTGAAATCAGCTGATTGTAGCACAAGTGCAAATGCAACCGATAAACAGGATCGATCGGCAGGCAGACTAACAATTCCAAGGAACCGGTTCTTGATTCCCGTCCCTATCTATCCTTCCATCTTCTTTCACTTGTCTGGAACACCTCACCCAGGTGCCATCTGACAAGGTCGGATAAACAACCTCAACTAGCTCCTTTTTATTTGGAGAAGTAGCGACTCTGCTCCAAGTCTTTCACGCAAGACTGCAGAGATGAGATTCTGAGCTATCATGGAGGAATTGTTGCGCCACTTAGACTTAGTCTAGATCTCTAAAATAGTTTTGCACTTCACTAACATTTGAAATGCAACCACCAAATGCAATGAAGGTAAAGATAAAAATGATGCAGTGTTGTTTAAAAAGCTACAGTAATGCAGCTTTAACTGTTAGACAAGCATAGTGTGCAAGATAATGCAGATGTGTGGCTGTGTGAAACTGATAATCTGTGTGCATTTGTTGTTTCTGTGTCACGTATTCGGTGTTAATTTGACAGGAGAAGATTACAAAGGAGATGAACTACATTCTGTCCAACCAGGACACAGTTTTGGCTCAGATTACCCAGCTGGAAAGTTCCATCACACAGACTGAGGTGATTAATACTTCTGGCCCACAAAATCTCCCTGAACATGGGATTAAAATCAGTCAGCAGCTACTGCAAGTATTTGTTCAGCTTGACTGTTTAGGATTGGATACTATGCAACTGCTGCATGTTTCATACATAACTCCAAAAATGTGTCTTTTCTCAAAGTGTTTTATAATGTTATTTGGACCCTTTTTAAGAATGTACCAGCAGAAGCCTGGTGTTAGTTCTCCAAACTTGTCTTTGTGCTTTTTCCTCACCAGGTAAACAGTGTGTCGGCCAGAGAGCAGCTGGCTCAGAGCATCAGGGATTTGACGGCCGCCCTCGCCGAGCGTCACGCTTCGCTCACCCATGCTCTGGAGGGGGCACGGCAGAAACGAGGCGAGGCACTGGCTGCTCAAGTGGCGGAGAGACGTGGCTTGTTGGAACACGCT